TGTAGACGACGGGCGGCTGACCTGTGGTAGTGGTTAGCTGGGCGCAGTCGGCGCCTCGCACAGCAAAGCACTGCCACAGGTCAGCCGCCTCTGATCTGTTGCGGAGGTAGTGGGAAGCAGGCCCACCACAAGCGGATCTACTGCTTCCGCGACCTGGGCGACGCTCTGGTGAGTGACTGGCGCTTCGTCGCCCCCATAGTGCCGTCCGACGTGCCGCTAGAGTCCTTTGCCGTGCTCCGCATTGTTCCCGGAGGCGTCGACCGGGCCCTGCGCAACTTGTGCGACTGGTGGGAGCACCGTCACGACCCTGGGGTCTGCTTCTTCCTGTTCGACGACCTTCGCGAGCGACGGCACGAGTGCGTGGTCCGGGTCAATCGGTTTCTGGACGTGAGTGCTTCGTCGGAGGTTATCGACAGAGTGGTGGAGCAGAGCTCGCACGAGTTCATGACCCAGCCCAGCAACTGGTCGAAGTTTGACGACCACAAGATCGTTGCTGCCCTGGACGCTGCCCGTGGGCACACGCGCTCCGTGCCGCTTACAGGAAAGGCGCGAGTGGGCGGCGGCAAGTCTGGCAGCGGCGGGGAGGAGCTTCCAGCAGCGGTGCAACAATGGCTGCAGTGGCGCTGGGAGTGCGTCGTCCTCCCGAGAACTGGCTACCGATGTTTAGACGAGCTGCGAGCTGCATGGCATAAAGAGTTGGATGAGGCGATCCTTGGGAGGGAGCCGTCCACGACTGAGGCTCCGAACGCTGACATAGGCCCGCTGCTGACGCGATCTGTGTGCGCTGCTGGGGCCTCGTCCGCAGCGAACGAAAATATCGGACCTGTCCCGTTTGGCATGAGCTGGTTTCGCCAGCGCTGGTTTCGCCGCTGGTTTCGCCCACGGCTGGTTTCGCTGGCGCTGGTTTCGCCGGCGCTGGTTTTCAACCGCTGGTTTCGCCGGCGGCTGATTTCGCCGGTGCTGGTTTCGCTGGCGCTGGTTTCGCCGACGCTCGACCGAGCACGCGCGAGCCCTATCGGGTCGGGTTGGGCGGGCGGACCCTAGCGGGCGGGTCGGGTCGGGTCGGGCGGGCGGACCCTAGCGGGCGGGTCGGGTCGGGCGGTCGGGACATTAAAGTGTGGGGCACGACCGAGCACGCGCGAGCCCTAACAGGCGGGTCGGGTCGGGCGGGCGGACCCTAGCGGGCGGGTCGGGTCGGGCAGTTTCGCCGACGGCAGCTGGTTTCGCCGACGGCAGCTGGTTTCGCCGACGGAGCTGGTTTCGCCGACGGAGCTGGTTTCGCCGGGCGAAACCAGCCGTCGGCGAAACTTGCGGTCGCCTCCCGTTTGGGGTCCTCGTGCATCAAAGACCATTCGCCATATTATTCGGGTGCAGCGGTGACTTCGGTAGCAAATCATGGGAGCTTCGTATGTCCTCGCAAGACCGTCTTTAGAACATATTCGCGTGCGCTACTGTCGTCTGGTAATCGATGAGCACGCGCCGATCTAGCGTCGATTAGCGTCGGTTAGCTTCGATCCGCAAGAGCCAGCAAGATTGCATGGGAGGCTCCCCTGAGTTGCCACCGAAGGTGACGTCCAGAGCTGGGGGGCCGGCCCGACACTGGCAGGACGCACCCTCTCAGACCTCGTGGCGGCCCTCATCGCCGACCCTTGGGGGAAGGTCATGACCACAGTGCGCAGAAGGTCCCTCACGCTGCATGAGGCACACGCATCGCCAGAGCGCAGGGCGGCACCCTGGAACGCCTATATCGCGCTCCTGGTACCGTACACCGCTCACTACTTCCCTCCGCCCCCCTGGGGTGCAGCAGTCCATGAGGGTGTATTAGTGGCAGTCGTCGGCCTGTCTGGCACCAGCTGGGTACCAGATCACATCCTCACCAGACTTGGCCTGCACTTCGGGGTGCCCGGCTGCCCCAGATGCCCGCCCGACCCTGCTCGCGAGGAGCGTCGCACCCTGCTGGGACTGCGTCTGGGGGCCAGCCTCGGTGCAGCGCCGCTCCCCCACAAGATGGAATAAGCTGCGCCGGCGGGCAGCAGACTACCACGAGCCCGCGCCGCCGCCCAGGCCCAAGTCCAAAGTCTTGACTCGGTAGCCGGGCCAGCCGCGGTTGTCCGACAGCACGCCGAGCATCCACACCGCCCCATGGGTGCCACCGTCGGCCGCGCCCTTTACGGTGCGGCACGAGCGCAGCAGCACGGTGTCGCCACTCAGCAACTGCTGCGCGACGCGAGTGCCAAACGCAGATGGGTGCCTGGCGCTGTCCAGGAATGGACCACCCTTACACACACACACACGCGCGTCGCTACACCGCAGCAAACCACTTGATGCGAGTCCTGGCCAACGGTCTACCAGAACACTCCAGGTAGCGGGACTCGCAGGACAGTTCATTGCCCACACCATTGCAACACCTGCCGCTGCCTCGGCACAGCGGTACGGCACACTGCTTCTGCGGCCTGGCCGGGAGTCGCCTTGTGCTCCGCTGGCCTGGGACCAATGCCGATTTTGTTCCGTCGGCGGCGAGGCAGAGGCAGTCCGCTCCAGCGTGTGGCATTTCGGGGCAACTGACAGGCAAATTGGCCGGCGAAGACCACTGTCACACACACGACCGCCACATGGGCGACCCTGCCTGACGCAGCCGTACGGGACCGCCTTGCACTCCTGGCAGAGCCAGTACGCGCTGGGTGGCCAGCCCTACTGGACCACCCTATCTCGAAGCCCACTCCGTGTGGATGCTGATCCTTGTTCGGAGGAAGGAGAGGCGACACCACCACCAGGGGAGCCACCTCCAGCAAAGGGGTGCACGATGCCTCTCCGAGCTGGGGATAGGGTATGTCTCGAGCGAGAATCGGCGTCACCCCAACAAACTGATACTATGTGTGCGTCGCCCCCCCCCAAGGGGCGACGCGCGCACCGAGAAATCTTGTAGTATATACGTCGTGGCGGGCGCTTTCTGGCCACACCGCTCGGGAAACGATCTACTCCAAGACGGGAAGACCACTGGGCCGGACGCGCGCCTCCAAGGAGGACGCACAGTGCTAGGACGTCCCTGCGCGTCCCAGAGAGAGGGGGGACCACACCACCAGGAGGACCCTCCCTTGCGCGCCTCGCGCTAGTGGTGGTGGTGGTGGTGGTGGTGGTGGTGGTGGTGGTGGTGGTGGTGCCGCCCTTCCTTCCTCCCGTGTGCGCCACGGGAGAGGCCGGCGACGAGCGCCCTGGGGTCTGGTGCATGGCGGCGGCAGCACCGTCGGGCCCGCGCACGGTGACCCTCGACCTCCCAGTGCACCAGCTCGAACGTTCGACCCTGGAACCTCGACGCTCGAGGAGAACGACGACGAGGAGGACGAGGAGGACGAGGACGAGGACGACGACGAAGACGACGACGAGGAGCTGGTGGCGTTCGCCTACGCCCTGGAGCAGATCGCCGACGCGGCCAGCAAGAGGCTGATACGGGAGCTCGAGGCGGCGCTACCTTCACAAAGGGGGGAAGGAGGAGGAATGAGGAGGAGGAGGAGGAGAATGATGATGATGAGGAGGAGGAGGAGAAGGAGGAGGTGGAGAAGGAGGAGAAGGAGGAGGAGGAGGAGGGCGGAGGAGGGGAGGAGGAGGAGGTTGAGGAGGAGAAGGAGGAGGAAGAGGAGAAGGAGGAGGAAGAGGAGGAGGAGGGGGAGGAGGAGGAGGAGGAGGAGGAGGAGGAGTGCTGCCCCCTACGGGTCACCTGTGGCCAGGATAGCCCCCTGAGGGCCAGTGTTTGTTCCATTTCCGCGGCTGGCACCCGGCGCCGGAGGGAGAGGAGGGGCAGGAGGAGGTAGGAGGGAGGAGGTAGGATGCGAGGAGGAGAGGATGATGATGATGATGATGATGATGATGAGGAGGGGTGAGGAGACGATGATGTTGAGTGATGTTGAGGGATGTTGAGTGATGGTGGTGATGATGCTGCTGCTGCTGATGATGATGATGGTGATGCTGATGAGGATGGTGATGAGCTGATGATGCTGATGACGATGATGACGCCGATGCTGCTGCTGCTGATGATGATGATGATGCTGCTGATGTTGATGCTGATGATGCTGCTGATTATGCTGATGATGTTGATGATGATGCTGACACTGATGGTGACGTTGTTGATGCTGATGCTACATATGCTCATGTTGCTGCTGATGCTGATTATGATGCTAATGATGCAGATGATGCTGCTGCTGCTGCTGCTGATGATGATGATGATGATGATGATGATGATGATGATGCTCTTGTTGATGATGATGCTCAGGAGGAGGAGGAGGAGGAGGAGGAGGAGGAGGAGGAGGAGGAGGAGGAGGAGGAGGAGGAGAGGAGGAGGAGGAGGTCCATTCCCACCCACCCTCCTATACCACAACAATCAGGTGTGGCACAACTTGGTCTTGATATTGGAACGCGTTCCAACCTAGCGAACGGAAGACGCTCGCGCGCGGTCCCGTTTCCGACGACTTGGCGAAGGGAGAAGGGGGAGGAGGGAGGAGGAGGGAGAATGAGTTGGAGGGAGGGAGGGAGGGAGGGAGGGAGGGAGGGAGGGAGGGAGGAGGAGGTGGAGGAGGAGGAGGAGGAGGAGGAGGAGGAGGAGGAGGAGGCGCGAGCCACGTGCCGTCCCTCCGCGCGACGCGCGGGCCACGTCCCAGTCCTGCCGCTCCTGCTGCAGCCCCGACGCAGCAGCGCCCATGTCTGGAGCCACGGCGTCTGCGCTGTGTGCTTACACGCGGGGCGGATTCTCCCACATGGGATCACTGTCGGCTGGTCAGGCGACGCAATATGGGCTTTTATTAGGAGGGAAGATGGAGCAGGCCTCCGCCCTCCTCTCCCTCCACAAGTACGCATTATCTGAAGACTAGTCTCCTCTCGTCCCTGACCCTGTCCGGAAGATGTCCCGCATTCCCCATTTTTTGTTTTTAAGCGCAGGATTGGACAGCGTGTTTTTGTCTTTACATGTTTTTGCAATCCGATTGGTCTCGGTGTTTCAGAGGGTGCTCCCGCTGCAGCGCGCGTGGGCCTCATTTTCAGATCGGTGCTTTGCTCCCGTCTTTCAGATTGCCACTCTCGCCCCAGCGCGGGCCACTATTCTGGATCCGAATCCTTCCTCATCGTTGTCGCCCCCCACCTTTCCCCTCTGCTTTCCCCTGGTCCTCCTGCTCCTCCCGCTCCTTCCGCTCCAGTTCTCGCTGGTGTTGTTCGTCCTCGTTGTCTTCGTCATCCTCATCCTCATTCCTCATCCTCCTCCTTTTCCTCTTGCTCAGCTTCCCTTGTTTGATTGCGCAGAAAACGATCGGGGTCTTTCTGGGAGTTCTAGGTCCTCTATGGCACGCGTCCGCGAATAGAAACAACTCAGCGCAATAGGAAGGAACGGATCGGAGGGGTATGATGTCCGATACAGCAGGAGCGCGCGTAGCTTGTCTTCCTCCTCTCTTTCCCCTCCCTCCTCCCTCCTCTCCCCTTCTCTCTCCCCTCCCTGCTCTGCCTCCTCTCCCTCCCTCCTCCCTGCCTCCCTCCCCGCCTCTCTCTCTCCTCTCTCTCCCTCCTTCCTCTCTCCTCTCCTCCCGCCACGGCCCCGGAGGTTGCAAAAAGGAGAGGCGCCCCTCAAAAGGACCTCCGGGGCAGGCCAGAAAGGACTGTCTGCCCGCGAGGCCGTCGCCTTTTGCGACGGGCCTCGCAGACCGCATGACTTCGACCACTCGCCAGGGAGGAGGGGGAGGAGGGAAATAGCGCGTTCTGTGGTCGCTTGCAGGGGGGGGGGTTGGAACCGGACCCCCCCCCTTCCCTGGATGGAGGGGGGGGGGGTCGAACGCCCCCCCCCCCCCCCCCTCCTGTGACGGATGGGTGGGGGTGGGGTTCGAACCCCCCAGTGAAACGCCTCTCTCGGAGGAGTGTAGGCAGGTGCTCCAGGGCAGGAGAAGGGGAAGGACGAGAGGGGGGGGCGTGGGGCGGGCGTCGCGTCGCCGTCAGTCACGGTGGTCGTGGTCGACGTGGCCAGCGCGGAATTGGTCGTAGGGGTGGTGGCAGTGGTCGCCGGCGGTGGATGGAGAGCGGCCGTGGTCGTGGTCGTGGTGGTCAGCAGCGTCGTGGTTGTCGTGGTTGCCAGCGTCGTGGTGGGCTAGTCGTGGTCGATGCCCGCCAGTGCGGCAGCGGCCTTGCAGGCATCGTGATGGGATAGGACGTCGTGATGGTCGTTGCAGTGGTTGAGGTCGTGGTGCCGGTGGAAGCAACCTCTTGGCATCTACCTCCCCAGGCTCACTGAGGATCCTCTCCGCACCCCCTTGCTGGATGGTGTGGGAGACGTCGTGCCAGATCCCGCTGATGAGCTTGGACCCCCCTCCCTCCCTCTCTTCCCCCCTGCAAGAAAAGGTCTGGGGGCACCCGAGGGGGTCCCCCCCCCATCGCCCAGGGGGACCCCACGGCGTCGGGTTCGGGGCTCTGGGCCCCTCGCCAGGCGCCGTCTGGACACGGCCTCTTTGAGGACTGGCCCCCTGGCGCTCCCGGCCTGCCCTGGCCCTCTTCCCTCCCTCCCTCCCGCCCTCCCGCCCTCCCGCCCGCCCTCCCCCCTCCTTCCCTCCCTCCCCCCTCCCTCCAGCTTTCCTTCCTTCCCGCTTTCCTTCCTTCCCGCAACTTGGTCCCAAGAAGCCATCAGCGGAGCTTCCGTCTGTTCTGGAGTTCCCGGACTTGACCGCGAACGGTTCCGAAGGCGACGCCAAGGAGGAGAAGAAGGAGGACGAGCAGGAGACGAATGAGGACAAGAACATGGATACGGAGGCTGCGAGCAATTACACGGAGGAGGAGGAGGAAGGCGACGATGAGGACCAGAAGGAGAGCCCTGCCACGGAGGACGGGAGGGAGCAGCCGAGAGAGGGAGCACTCAAATAGTTCCAGCATTTCGAGGGCAGAACGATGGCAAAGCTGAATGAGCTCCACAAGGTCATGGACCAGGTCACGTGAGTCGTTTCTCGGCAGGCGCGTCTCGCCGAAACGACGGGCAGGTACAGCGCTGACATTATCGAGGCCACGGCCTCCACGCCATGCCCTAATGGGCACGGGCGGGCTCCCGAGAGGAGCGCGCGCGTCTCCGGCGCTTCGCTTCGCTTCCCTCCCTCCCTCCCTTTCCTCCCCCTCCCCCTCCCCCTCACTCCCTTTTCCTCCCCCCTCCCACTCCCCCTCCCCTTCCCCCTTCCCCTCCCCCATGCCCCCTCCCCTCCCCTCCCTCTCCTCCTCCTCATCCTCCTCCTCCTCCTCCCCTCTCTCTCCTCCTCCTCCCTCCTCCTCCTCCTCCTCAATCCTCCGCAGGTGCGAGACGAGGCTTCGCTCAACTTTGCCTGCACCGCGCGTGTTACCTCCAGCTGCATAGACGGTGCCCAGATGGCTACATGCATGGAGGACAAGAGGGAAGGAAGAAACCAGAGGAACGAGTAGCGGGGGAGGAGGAGGAGGAAGAGTGAGGAGGATGAGGGGGAGGCGGAGGAGGAGGAGGAGGAGGAGGGGAAAGAGGTGAGGTGGAGGAGGAGGAGGAGGAGGGAGGAGGAGGAGGAGGAGGAGGAGGAGGGGGAGGATGGGGAGGAGGACCACTGAAAACCGACAGCCGTTCGAGAATCTTCAATCGTGCCCCGAAAACCGTTCCTGGGACTTCGGCGGCGCGAATCAACGTGACAGTTGCGTCGCTCCAGAAAACCATTCCTGGGATTACAACTCACAATTAGCATGAATTTTGCGTCCTCGCAATCCGAAGCCGTGCCAGAACACCGTTTCTGGGACTTCAACCAACCCTACGAGTCTTCAAAGGCACGGGGCTAGAACCGCTCTCTATGTTTGAATATGTTGCATTTTTTACGACGAGTGTGCTCGGCGCTACGGCTGGAACCACCTTTTCAAAAACACCCGCCCCCCATCCTTGAACCTGTTGCAAGCTTTTTCGGACGAACGTACGCGGTGCTCGGCGAAAATTAGCTTGACGAATGACCCAACCATATGCAGCTGTGAGCACCGCAGTCGTGACTATCATGTTAGATGGCGCTCCCTATGGGGCCACGATCCTCGTGAGCGGTGCGCCGAACTGGGGCGGGGCCGCCATGCGACCTTTCCCACTGGGGCCTTAGGTGGAGCTCCTATGGGGCCACGATCCCCGTGAGGGGTGCGCCGAACTGGGGCGGGGCCGCCATGCGAACTTTCCCACTGGGGCCTTAGGTGGAGCTCCCTATGGGGCCATGATCCTCGTGAGGGGTGCGCCGAACTGGGGCGGACCCGCCATGTGAACTTTCCCATTGGGGCCTTAGGTGGGGCTCCCTATTGGGCCACGAAGCGTGTGAGGGGTGTGCCGAAATGAGGCGGGGCCGCCATGCGAACTTTCCCACTGGGGCCTTCGGTGGAGCTCCCTATTGGGCAACGAAACGTGTGAGGGGTGTGCCGAAATGGGGCGGGGCCGTCATGTGAACT